TCATTCTATCACCCTATTAGAGACCTGAAGGACCAGATACCCTATAGAATCATTCTATCACCCTATTAGAGACCTGAAGGAGCAGATACCCTATAGAATCATTCTATCACCCTATTAGAGACCTGAAGGACCAGATACCCTATAGAATCATTCTATCACCCTATTAGAGACCTGAAGGACCAGATACCCTATAGAATCATTCTATCACCCTATTAGAGAACTGAAGGAGCAGATACCCTATAGAATCATTCTATCACCCTATTAGAGACCTGAAGGAGCAGATACCCGATAGAATCATTCTATCACCCTATTAGAGACCTGAAGGACCAGATACCCTATAGAATCATTCTATCACCCTATTAGAGACCTGAAGGACCAGATACCCTATAGAATCATTCTATCACCCTATTAGAGACCTGAAGGACCAGATACCCTATAGAATCATTCTATCACCCTATTAGAGACCTGAAGGACCAGATACCCTATAGAATCATTCTATCACCCTATTAGAGACCTGAAGGACCAGATACCCTATAGAATCATTCTATCACCCTATTAGAGACCTGAAGGACCAGATACCCTATAGAATCATTCTATCACCCTATTAGAGACCTGAAGGACCAGATACCCTATAGAATCATTCTATCACCCTATTAGAGACCTGAAGGACCAGATACCCTATAGAATCATTCTATCACCCTATTAGAGACATGAAGGACCAGATACCCTATAGAATCATTCTATCACCCTATTAGAGACCTGAAGGACCAGATACCCTATAGAATCATTCTATCACCCTATTAGAGACATGAAGGACCAGATACCCTATAGAATCATTCTATCACCCTATTAGAGACCTGAAGGACCAGATACCCTATAGAATCATTCTATCACCCTATTAGAGACCTGAAGGAGCAGATACCCTATAGAATCATTCTATCACCCTATCAGAGACCTGAAGGACCAGATACCCTATAGAATCACTCTATCACCCTATTAGAGACCTGAAGGACCAGATACCCTATAGAATCATTCTATCACCCTATCAGAGACCTGAAGGACCAGATACCCTATAGAATCATTCTATCACCCTATTAGAGACCTGAAGGACCAGATACCCTATAGAATCATTCTATCACCCTATTAGAGACCTGAAGGACCAGATACCCTATAGAATCATTCTATCACCCTATTAGAGACCCGAAGGACCGGATACCCTATAGAATCATTCTATCACCCTATTAGAGACCTGAAGGACCGGATACCCTATAGAATCATTCTATCACCCTATTAGAGACCTGAAGGACCGGATACCCTATAGAATCATTCTATCACCCTATTACAGACCTGAAGGACCAGATACCCTATAGAATCATTCTATCACCCTATTAGAGACCTGAAGGACCAGATACCCTATAGAATCATTCTATCACCCTATTAGAGACCTGAAGGACCAGATACCCTATAGAATCATTATATCACCCTATTAGAGACCTGAAGGACCAGATACCCTATAGAATCATTATATCACCCTATTAGAGACCTGAAGGACCAGATACCCTATAGAATCATTCTATCACCCTATTAGAGACCTGAAGGACCAGATACCCTATAGAATCATTCTATCACCCTATTAGAGACCTGAAGGACCAGATACCCTATAGAATCATTATATCACCCTATTAGAGACCTGAAGGACCAGATACCCTATAGAATCATTCTATCACCCTATTAGAGACCTGAAGGACCAGATACCCTATAGAATCATTCTATCACCCCTTTAAATTCTTTCTCCAAATACACTGAATAATGTGTCTCAGATCTTTGTTGGATTGTTTTCCTGTTTATTTTACCCAGCTGTAGTTTTTTAGAGTTGGGACTTTTTTTTCATTACGTCCCAGTCAGATATTTAATCTATAACCTGTTGATCAGGTCTCCTTGATTGTCTTTGGATCTAGTCTTCAGATCTAGTCCTAATCCCCAATGAGGACTAGATCCCTTCTTTCCACCAGACTCACTGCTTCCCTTTCAGCTGCTGGTGCTTCTGAAATGTTTCAGGTCCTGCGTGGGTGAAACTCTCCTGCTGCGGCTGTGGGGCTTCAGTGCATGAGTGGGTCAGGAGATAAGCATTGCTTCATGGTTTCAGGGTCAGCCTGCTGCTGCCTGCTGGAGCTGAAACGGGTTCTAGTTTCTTTGTTCTCAGCAGAGCGTCTTTGATCCAGGAAATCCTCCTGGGAACGTCTCCTCTGCCATTTAACGTGGGAATGAGAAGCTTCTTTCTGTCTTTGGACGGGTCTGTGTTTGTGATTTCCACTCGCTGAGGTCAGACTGGAACAGGAGCAGAAGTGTTGAAATATGGAGAAACACTTCTGGCGCCTTTACTCCCAGAAATGTTTTTCTCTCGGCAGAAACAAGCCGATAAAACTGATTCCAGGAGGATTTACAGCTTGATCCTGATCCAGGTTGAATTAAAATGTTTTCCAGGATAAAGCAGAACTTATTGTTTGGTTTAAATCTGCGGCTTGCGAGTGGTGAGTCAGCTGACTGCACACAGGAGGCGCCGGTTCCAATCCCAGCTGGAGGAATGAGCTGCCAGTGTCCTTAAGCATGAGCCTACCTCTTATAACCAGGGCCGGATTTAGGACATTTTGGGCCCTTTGCAAAGACAGGCAGGGGGCCCCTCTGAATGGAGAAGACAACACATAGAACAGCCCCATTCTACAGATAGAGAAATGTTAATAGAATAGACATCCATTATCTGTTCTAGGTTGTGTCCCTCTCTTCTTGTCCCTTTTCTTCTTGTTTTCCTCTCTATGTTTTGTACTCAGCTGACTTTTCATGCTGTCTCTAAAGGAATGAAAGATTTTTTCCAAGCACTAAGCTCACTTAGCTGATTGCTCCTTCCTGTGTTTCCAAAAAGGCCAAAGTAAATAACCCAGTCCTTCTTTTCACTGTAGACAAGCCATGATCTGCTTATCTGTTCTCCAGAGTTCGCTGCTTTTAGATGTTGTCTCCAAAGTCTCCAGTAGCAGAAAAAAGTCTCTAGATCTGGCGCTAGGAGCTTTTTAGAAATCAAAGTGCTAGAGGGGTCTGAAAAGTGGCTAAATATAGCGACTAAAGCGCTAAGTTGGCAACACTGCTCTTTGCATCGTTTGTTTTTAATGTTCTGGGCCCTTCCGCCGTAACATCCAGGGGAGATTTTGATAAGGGGGGTGCTGAATCCAAAATAACACTTATTGTTTTTTCAGAACAGGCTGCACAGGAATTTTCCATCAGCCTTGAGTCTTTTCTTGCTGCCTCAACGTGGCAAATATAATATTCAGAATTTTTGTTGGCTTTTCCGCCTTGAAGCGAGCGTGAAAATCCAAGATATTATCCCAGCTCACCTTTGAGTTCACTACAGCCAGCCTGCGCTCAATCATAGCCATCATACGGCGCAGCTCACGGTCCTGCTCCTTCATGGCCTTTTGTGAGGGCCAAAAACCGCTGCCAGCAACCTGATCGATATGGAGGATAAAAAGTGCCAAAATTAAATAAATAAATCCGCATTAAATAAATAATTAAATGTGTCAATAATTAATTAAATGTGGAATTAAATAAATAAATGTGTCATTCATTAATTAAAACCACGTCACTAATATAAAGTGCCACAATTAAATAAATAAATACAGCGATAAACAATTAATTAAATGTGTAATTAATTAAATAAGGAATTAAATATATAAATGTGTCATTAATTTAATAAAATACATCCTCATTTTATTAAAAAAATATAGATAATTATTTCAGTGTGCATTTAATTATTTCATGGTCCTGTGTCGCAGTGCATCGAAACCATTAAAAGAATCTGTCAAACTCACCCATCAAAGTTAGGGGGCGGTTCTCTAACACCTGATTGGTCACCCTGCACATTAAGGCGGAGCAAATCGATTACAGAGACTCGATTCACGTTAACCCCGCCCCCTAACTTTGATGGGTGAGTTTGACAGATTCTTTTAATGGTTTGGATGCACTGCGACACAGGACCATGAAATAATTAAATGCACACTGAAATAATTATATATATTTTTTTAACAAAATGAAGATGTATTTTATTAAATTAATGACACATTTATATATTTAATTCCATATTTATTTAATGAATTACACATTTAATTAATTGTTTATCGCTGTATTTATTTATTTAATTGTGGCACTTTATATTAGTGACGTGGTTTTAATTAATGAATGACACATTTATTTATTTAATTCCACATTTAATTAATTATTGACACATTTAATGCTGTGTTTATTTATTTAATTTTGGCACTTTTTATCCTCCATAGATCAATGCCCAAATTGCCGCCGACATATAATTATAAAAAATCCAAACATCTTCGTTATCCTCCACTGGCAACATTCCAGAAGTCCATGAAATCAACCTTACATGATGTATATTCATAATAATTAGGTTACCTTTATGCAAACATTCATTTGTTTTCATTTTGATCAATTATACTTTATTAATTCAGCATATGTAAACCTGGCAGTTATGTGTTTTAATTAAATAAGCTATATTGAATGGATGATTATGCTTCATGTAAGGATTATTTAATAGGTTTGTCTTAAAATGATCTTAGAAAATAAATGTGAATTAGTTCTGTAATAAATTGACATATATCTAAAAGATGAGGTGAATTATTTCAGTGACGAGAACCATGAGGTCAGCTGAGAGGTTCTGTTGGATCCTGAGGTTGATAAAAGATGGCAGACCGTCTGTTTGGGTTTTATAGTAGATTGATGTGGTTTTGATAAAACGGAGGCGGACCTGCTCTATCTCAGGGTTGTTCTGATCCAGCTGGTTAGTGAGCAGAACCGGAGGGTTTCCTCTCCGTGTGGCGTTCTGCGGTTCAGCCAAGCAGACTGAACACGCCTCAATAATTAAACTTCAGCTCATTTATTATTGGTCAGCGTGCAGCAGGAACCATCAGTGCATAACTTTACCGCCGCTCTGTCCACAGCCTCCTCCCTGATGGCCCACCGCTTCGTGACGGTGCGCCGCGGCAGCCCGGCGGCTCGCAGCGGTCAGATCCAGCCCGGAGATCGGCTGGAGGCGGTGGAGGGCCGACCGGTCGGCGGCCTGCAGCACAGAGACCTGTCCCAGATCCTGAGGAGGGCTGGGAACACGCTGAGGCTGAGCATCACGCCCAAACAGCGTACGGACGCAAACACAGGAAGTCCAACACACACACACACGAAGCTCACGCCTTCCTCTCCTCCACAGAGTCTTCCTCCGACGGAGCCGACCTGGACACCAATGGACGCCTCATCAAAGGGCCCAGAGGGAGGTCAAAGGTCACATTTGTTTGATTACGTCTTCCAGTAGATGAGATTTGGAGAGAAATCTGAAGTTTTGTCAAAAGGTTTCAAATCATCCTGAATATTACAACAAAGCATTAAAACCAAACACTGTGAGGTACCGGGGGGGGGGGGGGTTGCCGTTAGATTATATAAATGATTAAATAGCAGAAGCAGCTGTTAGCAGATCTTTACCTTTAGTCTTTGAAATGGAAATAAATCTGTGTTTAAATCTTTAAGCTTTTTCTCTTTCCTGAGAAGAAAACAAACTCCTTAAATAACACTTCATGATGCTTATGTATTAGATAACTATGAGGCCTGTTCAGGGTTACAGAAAGCGTTTTATAATAACAAGTATCATCGCATCATTAGGTTTTAACAAGCAGATACATCAATAATAGAAAATAATCCTAAAATCCTAAAAAAAAGGTGAATATGTTTCTTTCCCTAAATGGATGTTGTTTTTATCATTGTTTAAACTGTGGGAATAAATCTGGGATAAATCCTCCTGGAACTAAATAAACCCAAATCCAAGCTCCGACTAAAAACCAAAGTCAGATTAGGAAAAAACTGCTTCCGGGTTGTTTCCCATCAGCCAGAAGGAAAATAATGAGCATCAATAAGAAATGCAGGTTGAGGTCTACTATAGCCTTCAACCTTAACGAACTGCTAACCTCAACGAGCTGCTTTCCTTAACGAGCTGCTAACCTCAACGAGCTGCTTTCCTTAACGAGCTGCTAACCTCAACAAGCTGCTTTCCTTAACGAGCTGCTAACCTTAATGAGCCGCTTTCCTTAACGAGCTGCTAACCTTAACGAGCCGCTTTCCTTAACGAGCTGCTGACCTTAACGAGCCGCTGACCTTAACGAGCTGCTAACCTTAACGAGCTGCTGACCTTAACGAGCTGCTTTCCTTAACGAGCTGCTAACCTCAACGAGCTGCTTTCCTTAACGAGCTGCTAACCTCAACGAGCTGCTTTCCTTAACGAGCTGCTAACCTCAACGAGACGCTTTCCTTAACGAGCTGCTAACCTTAATGAGCCGCTTTCCTTAACGAGCTGCTAACCTTAACGAGCCGCTTTCCTTAACGAGCTGCTGACCTTAACGAGCCGCTGACCTTAACGAGCTGCTAACCTTAATGAGCCGCTTTCCTTAACGAGCTGCTAACCTTAACGAGCCGCTTTCCTTAACGAGCTGCTGACCTTAACGAGCCGCTGACCTTAACGAGCTGCTAACCTCAACGAGACGCTTTCCTTAACGAGCTGCTAACCTTAATGAGCCGCTTTCCTTAACGAGCTGCTAACCTTAACGAGCCGCTTTCCTTAACGAGCTGCTGACCTTAACGAGCCGCTGACCTTAACGAGCTGCTAACCTTAACGAGCTGCTAACCTTAACGAGCTGCTAACCTTAAAGGAATAGTACACCCAAAACATGATTAGCCTTCATTTTCTACGTGTCAATATTCCTCCATACTGCTCGTCCAATGTATTCCAAGTGTCCTGAGTGGGTAGCGTCCAGAATTTACTCGAAACGAAGTCATTTAGAATGTTTTTAGAGCATAAACAGTAGTGTATAGGATTTCCTGATAGCGCGTTCACGACGCTACGGAAACTGCGGCAGACCAAACCAGCGCATTCAGCTCGGCAAAGAACTCATGCTCTTCCTCAACACTGAAGTCCTCAGACATTTTTCTTTCGTTGTTTCTTTCTTTGCACAGGTAAACAGCACATTTCTTCTTCTACGCTTGCATTATCGGCAGAGCAGATCCTGAATGCGCACTTTCATCTGGTTTGGTCTGCCGGCTTCCGTAGCGTCCTGAACGCGCTGGCGCGCAGTTTCGGGAAATCCTATACACTACTGTTTATGCTATAAAAACATTCTAAATGACTTCGTTTCGAGTAAATTCTGGACGCTACCCACTCAGGACACTTGGAATACATTGGACGAGCAGTATGGAGGAATATTGACACGTTTTTTGTGGACTTTTATGGACCTTTCTGCCTCGGGCGCCATAGACCTCCATTATTTGAATGTCAGCAGACAGCAAGAAGCCTCCCAGATCTCCAGATGCATTTGAGATATCAAAAAAGTACTCCAGAGTGTTGTTCAGCATGGGGGTGAGTAGAAAATGAAGGCTAATCATGTTTTGGGTGTACTATTCCTTAACGAGCTGCTAACCTTAACAAGCTGCTAACCTTAACGAGCTGTTTGCCTTAATCAGACGCTTTCCTTAACGAGCTGCTAACCTTAACAAACTAAATGTTCGTTTCAGAGAATGAAAGAAAATCCAGGTGTCTGTAGGGAATCTGCCTGTACAGGTTAGAACCTTAACTGGTACCACCAGTTAAAGCGGAGAGAAGAAGGTTCTGGTCGGCTGAAGAGCAGAGGTCTCAGACTGTAGATGACTGGATCGCAGTGGGATGCTGGACATGCTGGGATGTTCTCAGTGGAACATCTAAAGCTGAGTGAGAAATAGAGCAGATGATCGTCTCTGTCAGTGACGATCTGGAGCTTCAGTGAGCAGAAAGAGTGAGGATCAGGTGGTTTTCTGATCCTGTTGGTTTGGTTTAGTGATGCTATGATCCACCAAGCAGAGGGAGGTCCAACGGTCTTCCAGGAAACAGCCGGACCTTCTCCTGTTCCACTGGGACTAGGAGAAGGTCCAGATCCTAGGACTTCATTGAAAGAACCTCAGCTGATATAAAAACCAAAGGACTGGCAGGAAGATTATGGATCATGACTGCTTTGCTTTTCACCGACCGGATCAGAACCAAATATGGTTCCTTTAGTTCCGTCTGCAGGGTCGTAGATAAACTGGTCCCAGATTTATTCCCAGTTGTTCCAGTAACCTCCGGCAGTTTCTATGGTCCCAGCAGCCTCTTGGTTCTGTGTTCCAGGATGAGTCCAGGTTCTACAGCGTGGATCTGGAACGCGGCCCCACAGGGTTCGGTTTCTCCCTGAGGGGGGGCAGCGAGTACAACATGGGCCTGTACGTCCTGGGGCTGATGGACGGGGGGCCGGCCCAGCGCAGCAACAGGATACAGGTACACACACACACATGTTTTGTCACAATATCCTTGTGGGGACCTTCCATTGACTTCCATTGCCCTAACCCTAACCATTACCGACACATACCTATCCCTAAACCTAGCCTAAACTCAATTCACACCTTAGTCCTAAACCTAACCCCCACCCCAAGAAGAGAAACTTTCCTTATGGGGACCAGTTGTTGGTCCCCACAAGTACCTATGAGTCCCCAAAATGTAGCATATTCCTAGGAAATTGTCCCCACCAGGTATTAAAGACATGGCTACACACACACACACACAGACGTATAGCCTGGTTATCCTCCCGCCTCAGTGTGTCGCAGGTATGATGCAGATATTTTTGATTTATGCTCAATATTGAAGCGTGGTCTGCGATATGTTATTCCACGCCACAACGCCAGAGGGCCAATCAGGGACTAGCTGTGGGTCTAGATACGGCCGAGGCGGTGAGGAAGTGGGGGCAAGTTTGTGCGACAACGGAGGGACATGAGGGCCAAAAAGAGCGGGGATGCAGGTGGAAAAAGGGTCCCAGCGTTCTCACGCACCTCGCTCTGCTAGCTGCTCCATCTTCACCAGTCGTTTTCCACAATGGCAGTCAGACAAATAGAACAATCCGGTAAGGCACCAAACAGGAAATACGCATAGTGTAGAGCAGATGTAGATTTGACCAATCAGAGGCCTCCTGTCTGCGCTCACCTAAAATTTTGGAGAGGTGCAGCAGCGTGTCTGCGGAAGGGGCTGGGCATATCTGCATCCACTGCGACACATGCAGACGAGCTGGTTTCTGAGTATAAACCAGCCATAAAGTTGTAGGGAAGTCGTATTTAAATGTCAAATCATTCTGGCTTAAACATGTATATAAATGTAATCTTTATCAGACCATATTGTCCCAAAATTTAGACATTTTTTATTAAAAAAAAAAAAATCTTTCGTTATCTTCTGCAGGCCCTAGTTCTCTGTCAGCCTGAACACCTAAATTCGGCCGGTCATCTATCAATCACATGTTTTCGGTCATAGCATCTTGATTCATATGTCGCAGCTAATTTACGCAACGGTTGAAATCAGAATCCTTTCCTTTCCCATTGAGTTGCGTCCCAGTGTTCACGGGGATGGACGTCTGTGTCTTCAGCAGGCGTAGAGCTAACAGAACTGGCAGCGTTGCGAGGCAAGGGCTCAAACATGTACGGCTGGAAGCCTTCTACACCAAACCAAGCTTCTGCCGCCCTGGCGTCCTCTTCCACAACATCTTCGTCCCCGCTTTCCTCCTCTAAATAAAAAATGGATGACGGAGGAGACTCATCCACGACCTCCGACACTAAACTCTCCTCCTCTTGCATGTTTCCGCTGTCCATAGCGTTCCTTTATTCACTCGTGTAAAGTCGGGCACCATTCGGGAGAATTCGGAACTGAAATGGTTGGAACGGCCGCTTCCCTACGACTTTAAGACCCAACTGTTTTAAAACTGAACCCAGTGTGAAGCAGCAAAACCAGCTGTGAGCTCACTGGACATGAAACCCGTCATGATGAGGTGTGGACGAAGCCTTGGCTGATACAGGAGCTCCAGCTCAGTTTGGTTGCGGTAACTCCCGTCTTTCTCTCTGCTGCAGGTGTCCGACCAGCTGGTGGAGATAAACGGAGACAGTACGGCGGGAATGACCCACAGTCAGGCCGTGGAGCAGATCCGTAGAGGCGGACATCGAATCCACCTGGTTCTGAAAAAAGGAAACGGATACGTTCCAGATTATGGTGAGAATCATCTGTCTGCTTTACCAAACTTCTGATGCTCTGTTAAAGAACAGTCCTTCGGTTTCTCTGCAGGTCTGTGATGGACTGCTTCTGCCATCTAGTGGCCAGTTTAGAGACAGCAGGCATCATGAACAAACTCTGCTTTTAGGGAAGGAACCACTGAGCTCTATTTATTCCCTGGATTGCTGTTTGCTCGTTGGTAGTACGGGGTGGAGTGAAGCCACCGGCCGCCATATTGGTACTCCCTAGTTAGACCGGTTATAATGTAAACAGTATGTGAGCTACAGCATTGAACAATGATGATCTTATTATTTTCTGGGGGACTTTTAAAAAAAGCAGTTTTGGAACAAGATATTGCAGTATGCTAAAAAAAAAAGTAAAACTCACTTATCTTTTCTGTAAGGTGTCAAGGCACGGGCCCCCGTTGGCCCCTGTTTAAAACCGCCTATGATCAATGCACACATTTAGCGACACACAGGAGCTCTTTCAAGCTGGGCACCGTTTCATTCACAACACCTGTCCCATCAACCAGGAATCAGAAATACTTTAATAATCCCAGGGAGGGATTACCTTAGTTACATTACTCCATCTGTAACAGAGTGACTATAGGACAAGATACAGGCTGCTCAGTGGCACAGTGGGTAACACTGCTGCCTTGCAGTAAGAAGGTTCTGGGTTTGATTCCCGGTCTGGAGTCTTTCTACATGGTTTTTTTAAAAGTGACCTTAGATGAAATGTGTTGTAAATCTGAGCTATAGAAGTAAACTGAATTTATTCTCGGCCATTTTCACCCAGAATACCTCAGTATGGAGTCAGAAAGGGGTCAACATGTTTGTAAACATATAAATCTTAGTTGAAACGGAAAAAAATTAAAGTTGATATTGAATTTTAAATTTTTACCTTATGATCTAAGAAACTAAAAAACAAACAATATTTTGACCCTTTTCTGACTCCATACCTCAGACGCAGGGTGGCATCATCTCATACATCCCAGTCCTCTAGACTTGACAAATATTTGCTCACCACTAGGTGGCCTCAGTGAGCAGATGAAGCTTATATTAGGATATTCAGCAGAAGGTAAATGCTGCAGTCTTTGAATTTAAGAGATTTCGTCCTTAAAAGTCCTTGAATTCCATGTGGAACAAGGTTTGGGAGCCTTGTAAAGAAAGAGACTAAAAGTTGCAGAATGAAGAATTAATCCGTGTCTCACAAAGTCTGTTTGACTCTTTCTCGTCCTCTTTCTCTTCCTCCTCCTCTTCCTCCTCCTCAGTGGAGCTGTCCAGCCTGTCTCTCTGTATGACCAACTCCAAACAGGGCGAGCCCTGCTTCTACGTCATCGGACGTACCGAGAACTCGCGGTTGGTGGCTCTCTTTCTCCTCCTTTCCTCTGTCTTCATCCCTTCATTCTCTCCTCAGCATCATCATCGTCATCAAGTCGAGCCTCTGTCATGTGATCAGGTCACATGTTCATGTTGCGTTTGTGTTGAAGGTGGTTTTAAGTGGAAGGCTTCTGAATATTGTTTCTGCTTTTTCGTCAGGCCTTGAGGAAGGAGCCCTCTCCCCCTCCTTGTCCTCACGGGATCAGGAGTTCGTAGCCATGACAACAGCTTCCCTCAGCAGGGAGTGGAGAGAAAGAGAGGGAGAGAGGAGGAGGGAGAGGAAGGTGGAAACCAAACGGAGAACAGGAGGAGCAGGGCCTCCTGATCTGGACCTGGACCGGGTGGAAGAAGAAGCTCAAGAGGAGCAGAAGAGGATGCAAAGGAAAAGAGAGGAGGAGGAGGAGGAGGCTGAGATGAGACGACAAGAGGAGGAGGAGGAAGAGGAGAGGAAAAGAAGAAGAAGGAGGAAGGAGGAGAAAAGGGAGAGAAGTCAGACAAAATTTGACAACCAGGGAAGGAGAACCAGGAGCTTACCCAGGAATGGAGCCTCTTCCTGGGGGTCCTCCCTGCCAGAGGAGGCGGGGAGCGCAGGGCAAAGCGACAGGAGGAGGAGCCACACCGTCAGCCGCCATGCAAAGGGTCATGGGAGCTCCGCGACAGCTCCAAGAGAAGCGTTCTCCTTCCTAATGCCGATGAATGACAACCCTCCGTCTGACAGCGAATCAGCCGCCAGCTCAGAGATCCGCCAATCATCAGCCGTAGTCAGGGGGGGGGCGCAGGAGAACGGGCCAGGTCTCTGGCTGAAACCCAACCCCCAGAAGCTGAGCCAGGTTCTGACTGGCAGCAGGTTCAGAGGGCGGGAGCTGGCAGACGGGCTTTCTCTCTGATTGGCCAACAGTGACGACATTTTCCTGTTTCTTTGCTGAACTTTTTTTATTGGCGTTATAATAAAGGGCTAATATGGTTGGCCTGCTGAGAGAAGGCCCGCCTCTCACTACATCCTATTGGACAGGAGCAGATGAACCGGCCTCTGATTGGACCTGCAGCTGCTCACCACTCCTCCTGCCTCACTCTCAGCCCTCCAACCAATCGGTACCTTGGTTACCGTGACAACCAAAACTATTGCATGTTTGGTGGAACTGCTTCCTGTTCCTCCATCATCATCATCATAACAGTCCTTTAAACTGTATGCAAACGTCGGCGCTGTCTTGTGACTGTCCTCAGCATGTGAATACAACCGGAATGAGTTTTTTATTTTTATAACGTGTAAATGATCGCTGACACGATTACTGATATATTATTGACATGATTAGAGATGAACAGAACCTTACGTGTGATCTGCCTGCCTGCTTTTAAAAAGACAAACCGATGATTTAACAGAGCCATACCAATACGCACACACTGATGTCAGGTCCGGCTGTCGTCCAACAGCGTCACCATGGCGACCGTGTGATAGTGACGGGATGAGCCGCAGCTCCGGATCAGAACAAGTGCCTCGTTTTTTTGTTTTTTTGAAGCCTTCGTCCTGCGAACCTCGGCCTTCTCCTGTCCCGTCTCTTCACCACGCTCTTCCACGATGCCAAGTAATCACAGCCACTCACACAGAACCGGTTCTATATGGAGTTTTATATGAAAGATTCAAATAAAGACTGAATAAATATGCTGGAGTTTTGTCTTGTCTATACAGCTATGGAGTGAATTTTGTTCCTTTATCGTTGCAAAGAACATTGGACTAGAGTATTGACAGGCAGCCCAGGCCACAGGCGGCTACGCTCTACCCCTTCTATTCATTCTAGCTCATCTGAATCGTTCATCTGGAGAGCGAGATCATCTGTGGTAGCAGCACTAGACATCTTCCAGGCATGTGAGGAAAACTAGCAGCAGTTCAGCGGACAGGATGAATGCAGGGGCAGATTTACCATTAGGCCTAGGGCCCCAAGTTCGTGGGGGCCCCATAAACCTTTTTACATGTATGGTTAATACAGGTATTACTTATTTGTGCACATTAATTATGTTTTTGATGCAAATCCTTTCTCTAAAATGCCATCAGAATGCTTGTAATAGTAAGTGCCCCCCCCCCCCAGCAACCCCTTAGTGTCCACCACATTGGATCAGTCCATTTTCTGCAGCAAAGCACCAAAGCATTTGAAAACAAATGGTGCAGAGAGTACTGTTGCCAGCTTTGTCCTATGCGCCTTTGTCTCTTTATTTAGCAACTTTTCAGACCCCTCTGTCACCTTTTTTTTTTTTTTTTATGCTTATTTATAAATAATAGAATTTAAGATAAAATTCTGTATCTGTATAATGGGTCTGTTTTATGTGTTCAGAGGGCCCTATGCATGCCTTTGCCTAGGGCCCCAAATTTCCTAAATCCGCCCCTGGATGAATGAATGGTAGCCGGCGCATGCGTATGACGTCATACCAGAGGTGGGGACTCGAGTTTGTGATTCCAACTCGAGTCGCACTTAAGTCGCATATTTAATGATTTCAGACTCGACTTAGACGATATATATATATATATATATATATATTTTTTTTTTTTAAGCGTTTTTTGTTTTACTAACTTGACCGTGGATGTCTGGGGGGCAGTGATTGGCCTACATGTTCTGAATGCTGGCGTACCAGCCCGTCTGATCACAGCTTACAGGTGCTGGTCATAAAATTAGAATATCATGAAAAAGTAGATTGATTTCAGTAATTCCATTTAAAAAGTGAAACTTGTATATTATATTCATACATTACATACAAACTCATATATTTCAGATGTTTATTTTGTTTAATTTTGATGATTACAAATGACAACAAATGAAAATCTCAAATTCATCATATCAGAAAATTAGAATATTACTGAAGACCAATAAAAACAAAGGATTTATAGAAATGTTGGCCAACTGAAAAGTATGAACATGAAAAGTATGAGCATGTACAGCACTCAGTATTTAGTTGGGCCTCCTTTGGCCTGTATTACTGCAGCAATGCGGCGTGGCATGGAGTCGATCAGTCTGTGGCACTGCTCAGGTGTTATGATAGCCCAGGTTGCTCTAATAGTGGCTTTTAGCTCTTCTGAATTGTTGGGTCTGGTGTATTGCATCTTCTTCTTCACAATACCCCATAGATTTTCTATGGGGTTAAGGTCAGGAGAGTTTGCTGGCCAATTAAGAACAGGGATACCATGGTCCTTCAACCAGGTACTGGTAGCTTTGGCACTGTGTGCAGGTGCCAAGTCCTGTTGGAAAATGAAATCTGCATCTCCAAAAAGTTGGTCAGCAGCAGGAAGCATGAAGTCCTCTAAAACTTCCTGGTATGTGGCTGCGTTGACCCTGGACCTCAGAAAACACAATGGACCAACACCAGCAGATGACATGGCACCCCAAACCATCACTGACTGTGGAAACTTTACACTGGACTTCAAGCAACGTGGATGAAGTGCCTCTCTTCTTTTCCTCCAGACTCTGGGACCTTGATTTCCAAAGGAAATGCAAAATTTACTTTCATCAGAGAACATGACTTTGGACCACTCACCAGCAGTCCAGTCCTGTTTCTCTTTAGCCCAGGCAAGACGCTTCTGACGCTGTCTGTGGTTCAAGAGTGGCTTGACACAAGGAATGCGACAGCAGAAACCCATGTCTTTCATACGTCTGTGTGTGGTGGTTCTTGAAGCACTCACTCCAGCTGCAGTCCACTCTTTGTGAATCTCCCCCACATTTTTGAATGGGTTTTGTTTCACAATCCTCTCCAGGGTGCGGTTATCTCTCTTGCTTGTACACTTTTTTCGACCACATCTTTTCCTTCCCTTCGCCTCTCTATTAATGTGCTTGGACACTGAGCTCTGTGAACAGCCAGCCTCTTTAGCGATGACCTTTTGTGTCTTGCCCTCCTTGTGCAAGGTGTCGATGGTCGTCTTTTGGACAACTGTCAAGTCAGCAGTCTTCCCCATGATTGTGTAGCCTATAGAACTAGACTGAAAGACCATTTAAAGGCTTTTGCAGGTGGTTTGAGTTAATTAGCTGATTAGAGTGTGGCACCAGGGGCCATCAATTTTGAACCTTTTCACAATATTCTAATTTTCTGATATGATGAATTTGAGATTTTCATTTGTTGTCATTTGTAATCATCAAAATTAAACAAAATAAACATCTGAAATATATGAGTTTGTATGTAATGTATGAATATAATATACAAGTTTCACTTTTTAAATGGAATTACTGAAATCAATCTACTTTTTCATGATATTCTAATTTTATGACCAGCACCTGTACCTTCGTACGGATTACTGTGTTCCCACTGTTTGCTGGCTTTATGATCTGCAGCTCCTGAACCCATCCATTCATGAACTGCACATGAGACTCCAAGGACTTGTAGCTTGGGAACTGTTTTGAAGTATAGGCGCTCACTCACCGGTGCTCCACTCATTGTTTGGAACTTCATATGGATCCAAATTATTAATAATGCTGATTTTGTCAACATACCGGTCCGTGGCTTCTCTATTTAATGTGTCCCGGTAAATTCCAGATCCTTTTCGGGATTTTAACATCTTTTTTTTCTCTCACAACATTGTGTCCAAGCTGTGCTTTCGGAGCGATGCTACCAGAGCTACGGTATAAGAGCTATGCTATCGGAGTGTAGCATTCAACATGGCCGCCATGTCCCACAATGCAACGAGCCCTATATGATTAATTCATCCCTAGAAAGTAAGGCACCAATGGAGGCAACATAAAACTAGAGTTTGTTCTGATCCAGTTCAGCTTTGTGAGATTTTCCTTCTCCTGCAATGTTAGATCCATTTCCAACCAAGTATTTAAGAACCTATTCCCTCTAATTTCCACCTCTATTTTAGATATGATCATGTTATCCCTGCTTCAGGGCAGGTCAGACCTGTTCCCTGCTGCACCCGCCTGTAAAGGTGAGGAGAGAACCAGGCAACAAGGTGAAGCTCACCTTGTTGCCTGTACCCTCACCTGTGCTCATTAATCTGGATCATGACCTAAAGAACCAGATCCTGTAAACTATGGACGGTGAGTGGGCTCTCCCTTATGGAGAGGAGCTCAGTCGTTCAGGAGAAGCTCTGAGTGGAGCCACTTCACATCAGGAGGATTCAGCTGTTTGGACGCCTCCCTCAGGTGTTCCAGGTACGTCCCACAGGAGGAGGCCTCTGGATGTCTGTCAGCTGACCTAGGAGCGCCTCGTCTGAGGGAGGTCTCTGCTGAGACGGCTGCCCCCGCTACCCGGTCCCTCAGGCTTTTAACATAAACTTTGACTGAGGAAACCTCTGGATCCAGTTGATTTGGTCAAAAACAGACCTATGATCATCTGGGAATTATCAGACACCTGAATTAGGGTGGCCATTTCTATAGCACCAAAAAGGAGGACATTGTGCGGCATATCAATAAATTACTAAGGTGTACAAAAGAATCGGGTAAAGTCACATTTATAGCACAATTCTTAGTAGTTTAAAGAGGATGCTTGTGTAGCTGAATAGAACAAAATATTAAAGAAATGTAAAAAAGAATTGGTTCCCAGCATTTGTATTTATTTAATACATTGTGGTGTTTAAAAAGTGACCATTTTTTTAACACAATTAATTTGCGCAGAACTGCTCCAATTGATCATAAAGCAGTTGTTTGGAAAAGAAGCTCGAGAAAGAGCTAGAGAATAGGACGATGCAAACTGCAAAAAGTAGCTGGAAAAGAGGAATTCATGACATGGCTGCAGCCTGTCGAGAGTAAAGATGATTTCACCATGTTCTCTATCTATCCATATCTATCTATCTATATATATATATATATATAAACTTGAGTCATGGAACTGTGCAGCTCCTTATTTCATGTATACTAATAACTTGTGTACATGATACTTGTTGATGGCATTAAAATTATTTCTAATAGCATTAAAAGAGCATTAAATTAGAGTTCCTCATTCCTGTATAAAACCTGTGAACGCTTAATTGAATCTGACATATTAAAAAAATCCCCATCATCATCCAGCAGATGTTCAGTTTCTGCCCAAATATTTTCTTTCTGTTGTGGATTTTTGTAACAGGGATAAGGATCATACATAGTTTGTATGAACTCTGTTTATTCTCTGCTTCTAAACTCATCATCTCTTCATCCATTCCTGCAATAAGAATTTTCTTTTAAAGTTGTGAGATTCACTCTAGAATCTCACAACTTCTTCCTGGTCTGTTGAAGCACCAATAGTCTGCATCCAATTATTTAATTAATTGCTCTTAGTTTTTGGGAATATATACAAACTATGCTCTAATTTCTAGATACCGATCTGTTTTTACTATAATTTAATTTGACAAACCGGGTCTTCTCTACATTCTTTTTTCTGTTTGGTGCGATTGCAATAGCGGGTCTTGATCTGGACGGACCGGAGGGGAGCAAAAAATAGCTCAGCTCCGTATTTTGACGGTGAAGGACGGAGAAGACGTACGTGGGCGGTGACGAGCGGAGGATGTGGAACAGCTCTCATTGATTTACATGACAGACAAGTACTCCGTACGTGAGCGGGGCGGAGCGCTGACGGAGTATGTGGAATCTGGGGGTAAAGGAGGACAAATACACGTCCGGCTGGGTGCAGCGCCGGACGCCGGACAGTGCAATGAAAATCCGGACTGTCCGCCCTAAAGCCGGACATCTGACCACCCTAACGTGAATAGAAGAAGCTGATCAGTTACGACATTATTTACTTCGCCTTCAGGGTCAATAAAGGATTCCTGGTTTGAATTGAATGTTTTTCCAACAGACGTTCAGACTCTTACTGGAGCACTGAAGACAGAAACATGAGACCAGACAGCTTCTGGAACAGGAAAACTCTTTATAAACGTATCAAAAGTAGAAACATCTCTATGATAAAACAGAAACACGCAAAGGAAAAGTAAGAGGAGGCGAGCGGTAGTCCTCGTCCTGCCTGAGTCGCTCCTCTTCCAACCGGACCGAGTTCAGTTCTGGGAACTGGGATCCACAGGACTTTAGTGAGCTCTGATCAGTAGCATCAACACTCTGAGGTAGAAACGTTTGGACCTACAGCTGCTGGAGAATCTGCTCAGAGCTGAGGACTCCATTACCCAGAAGCCCCAGCTCTACTTGGTTTGGCACTTTTTTCAAACACTGCATTTATCCTTACAAACTGTGAAGTCCAGCTCAACAGTAAGAATCTAACTCCATGGTTCCATCTTCCTCTTCGGACTCCTCATCCTCCTCCTCATCCTCCAGCAGGCAGGGGAAGCATGTGCGGAAGGGCGGAGTCACCAGCAGGTGGCAGTCTGTGGAGCGTAGGCGCTGTAGACCGCCGGGGGGCCGGAACCTCAGGCCCCGGCAGACAGTGAGGCGCTCCAGGTCAAGCAGCAGAGTCACCAGCTGGGAAACACACAGCTGTTAGCATCGGTTAGCATTCTGAGGCTAACATGTTCCACCTGTGAACCCATTGCCATGGAAACCAACAGAAGGGCTTGATTTCCCCTCTGAAGAAACGTTCAACCTTTTTATGAATCCTGTCAGAACAAAACCTCGGGCCGTTTCTCAATTCACTAGAACGCGAGTACGGACTTGCGTTCTAGTGAATTGAGAAACAGTGCAAATTTTTTCACGCTGAAGGGTGCTAAAATATTTGCACATTGACTCTCGTTAACAGTTGTCCATGCGCAGTAGCTCCTGTGCAATACAGAAGTAGAGAGCTGCGCCCTCAGGTGGTAGGAAGTGTCATCACAGAAAGTGCAGGTGATTGACAGGCCGAGTCGCCTTAAAGCAAACTTACCAAGAGAATCTGGAGGTGAAATCATTTGGACCTGATCAGTCAGACATCAGAATTAAACAGCAGTCCAAAGAGAGACTGAGACTCTGTCTTTTTCCAGGACCTGGTTTAGCTCCAAGGCTAGGCCAACTGCGTGCAGCGAGGCTAACTGCATGCAGTGAGGCTAACTGCATGCAGCGAGGCTACCTGCGTGCAGCAAGGCTAACTGCATGCAGTGAGGCTAACTGTATGCAGCGAGGCTACCTGCGTGCAGCGAGGCTAACTGCATGCAGTGAGGCTAACTGCATGCAGCGAGGCTACCTGCGTGCAGCAAGGCTAACTGCGTGCAGAGAGGCTAACTGCATGCAGCAAGGCTAACTGCGTGCAGCAAGGCTAACTGCGTGCAGAGAGGCTAACTGCGTGCAGCAAGGCTACCTGCGTGCAGTGAGGCTACCTGCGTGCAGCGAGGCTAAATGCGTGCAGAGAGGCTACCTGCGTGCAGCAAGGCTAACTGCATGCAGCGAGGCTAACTGCGTGCAGCAAGGCTAACTGCGTGCAGAGAGGCTAACTGCGTGCAGCAAGGCTACCTGCGTGCAGCAAGGCTAACTGCATGCAGCGAGGCTAACTGCGTGCAGCAAGGCTAACTGCGTGCAGAGAGGCTAACTGCGTGCAGCAAGGCTACCTGCGTGCAGCGAGGCTACCTGCGTGCAGCAAGGCTAACTGCGTGCAGCAAGGCTACCTGCGTGCAGCGAGGCTAACTGCATGCAGCGAGGCTAACTGCGTGCAGCGAGGCTACCTGCGTGCAGCGAGGCTAACTGCGTGCAGCGAGGCTAACTGCGTGCAGCGAGGCTAACTGCGTGCAGCGAGGCTAACTGCGTGCAGCGAGGCTAACTGCGTGCAGCGAGGCTAATGCTGTATTCTACTTTCCCTGCAGGATCTGAGCCAGCATGGATAAAGACAGCTAGGACTGATTTAAAGCAGTTTTTAGAAAAGGAAAAGAAGAATGAACAATCTGGGATTCACATGGAAAATAATAGAATCTAGTCTACTTTTTCTAGATTTTTGTTCATTTGCATAGTTGCTCTTAAATAAACACATTCTCAGAAAATAAATAGTTGACTAATATCTTCTCCATTATTAAACTGCTACATAATTTTTCTAGGTTTGTGACGCAATATTGGACCATGGAAAACCCAGATTTACTTTCACAGCCTCAGAAGGACAAGATCTATGGACAAAAGGTAAACCTGGACATGAAATTGGGTTTGTTTTTGTATATATATATTTTATGTTTTTTATTGTTGGTACTCATGTAAATATACTGGTGTGATAACTTAATATACGTTTGATTGGTTTTTGGCAAACATCTATTTCGAATTTATAGCCCCCTTTAAATATTAAAGCAAAGAGGTATTTCTTTATCTTTAAGGTGTTTGAGATCCGACCTGAACCGGTCTTAATGGAGAAAAAACATTTCCATCACTTCCTTCGTCTAAATCTCGGCTGAAAATGAGGAAAACCGGATCAGGAAGATTCAGAGTCATCTGTTGCCACGGTAACAGCTTCCTAGCTTTCGGAAAGCTTGCCAGATTTTCCCCAGAACTGACTCTGGATCAGCACCAACCCTGCTGTGAGACTGGATCTGCTCACCTTACGAGATGTTTGGACTATTTCTTTTCAGATTGAATTTAAAAATGGATTTTAGGAGCTGTTTGCCAGATCTGTCTATATTTAACTAAGGCGGGGGTCGACAACCCGCGGTTTCGGAGCCGCATGCGGCTCTTTAGCTCCCCCCTTGCGGCTCCCTAGAGCTTTTTCAAAAATGTATTAAAATCGATTATTTTATTTTTTTTTATATTGTGTGCAGCAGGTCACTCAAAAAATTATTATGTTTTCCAGTGCTGTAAACATTTGTATTATAAATAAATGTAAACAATAATTTGAGTCATAGCCATAGAGATCAGTGGTCATAACTTGCAGCCCGCGGGTCGCGGCGCCAGGCTAACAAAACTGCAGGTGCGTCTCGGACCATGGATCCCAAAGGGAAAAAAAGGAAGATAGCTGATGAAAAAAAGAAGATTCAAAGAATTCCCCAATCATTTGCTTTCAGTATCAATGTGGAAGGATTGCCTGCATTTTTGCTTTGTAATGAGAGGCTGTAAAAAAATATAAATAAAATTAGGAAAGGCATTTCCAAGGAAGGCTGCTAAATCTGCAGCTGACCACCAAGCTGAGAGGGAGAGAAAAAGTGGAGATTGCAGAACTAAATTAGAGGAGAGCAAAGATAGATTTAGGAAGTGGATTGCATCTCCAAACTACTGCTGCTAGTTTGGCTGCAAGGATGGAAACCATCCACAGATCCAACAGGTGGCGCTCTGATGCGGGGATGGGAACTTTCTGCCATTTTTTCCCCAAATCCTATAAATATAAACGCCAAGGAGCGCTGGAGACGGAGGATGTGGGATTTCAGGGTCAGAGAGCTCTGCTGTGATGGATGTCACTTCCTGCTCGGTTCCTCAATCAGCTCCTCCCATCAGAAACACGTCCAGCATAGAGAGATTCCTTTATCCTGTTTCTATCATTTCATCAATGCATCAAAACCTAAAGCGCGTGGAAGGGCGGTGAGGCGGCGTACGGTGAGAGCATTCACTGCTCCTCTCTCACCTTCTGCTGCTATCTGACATTTGCTCCATGATAAACATTTAATCATGAACGCTTATTATAAATTTAAGCCAAAATAGTCATTTTCTATAGTGGGATAAAACACTTAGAGCCCGTGTTTCCATACGAGGCTCATAGAAGACTTTTACATTTTTGCGGCTGATTTTTTTTTTTTTTTTTTGGTCCAATATGGCTCTTTGAGCAGTTTGGGTTGCCGACCCCTCAACTAAGGGAACCAAGAGGAACCGACCCTAAAAGGAAAACGGTGAAACTCAGGAGGTGTCCATGAATTAGCCCCGCCCCCTGCGGTTACCTGGCTCAGGTGAGCGATTCTGTGGGCGCTCTCCTTGTAGACCCGGTGTGAGTCCGGCAGCAGCTGCGTCTGGACGCTGATGTGGAAGCTGTGATCTGATTGGACGTGGACGATGGTGTCTGCCATGGGGGACAACTGGGGGGACGCAGAGGACAGCAGGAGACATGATCTCAGTGTCCCTCAGGGACAGAGCACAGCAGCTTCATCAGCCAGACATCTTCAAAAGTGATGATAGATCGGTTTAAAGATAAAAATGTAAAAGGTTATAAAGTTAAAAGACACAAACCTCAAAAATAAAGAAATTAAATTTGTTATTTAGGGAAACGGCCAGCAGGCTTTAATTTCTAGGATAATTCTGACTAAATCAAAGGAAGCCTTTGAGTTTTATTAGAAGTTTGATTGTTTCTGTTTTTTTTTCAAATTAAACTTTTCGTGCAGATTTTATTCCAGTTTTTGGACGTTCCTCGGATGTTTTCCCGACGCTTCCTGGCCTTCCTACCTTGGAGCACTGCAGCAGCTGCAGCTCCGGTCCATCAGCCAGAACAGCCACCCAATGCGCCGGCAGCACCGTCCTCCTCAGCATCCACAGCAGACGGGACAAGCTCCGCCCACCTGCTGCAGCGGCATCACCCGCCCCCCTCAGCAGGTGGAAGCAGTCTGGGTCCTGAAAACAGAGGGGGAGGGGCTTGTTAGAGGGGGAGGGGCTTGATAGAGATGTGACCCCCTCTTTAATTCAGATTGATTGACGGCTCCACTGACCAATGAGATGAACTCTGGGCGTTCGTAGGTGAGGCCACAACAGCTGGAAATGTCATGGAGGTCAGAGAGCGCCGGCGTCGCTGCGGTCAGAGTGTTCTGGTGGGACTGAGGTTCCGGTAGCTCCACCTCCACTTCATAGTATTTCCCAGCATCTGACACACCGATCCGTACCTCCTGCTCCGCCTCCTCCTGCTCCTGCTCCGCCTCCTCCTGCTCCGCCTCCTCCTGCTCTGGCTCCGCCTCCTCTTGCTCCACCTCCTCCTGCTCTCCACCCCTCCCATACTCCTCAATCTCCACTGGCTCCTCCTCCTCTTTCAGCTGCGGTGATTGGACGGCGACCACGGCGTGAGGAGCAGGAAGGGGAGGAGGGGGCGGGATGAAGGTGAGCCCCGTGGAAACATGGAGGACGGATCCCTCCTGGAGGTCAGTCAGTGGAGAAAAAAGGGTTACCACGGAAACACAGTTCTGAGTCGATGGCTCGTCGCCATCGACTCAGAATATCCAGTTGTGAGACTTGAAAAAGTGTTACCATGGAAACGCAGGTCAGTCAGAGGCTAACTAAGGTTGAGAGGTGAGCGGTGGAGCTTACCTGAGGCAGCAGGCAGCTGAGGGCGGAGTCAGAGACCAGGTTGGAGGACAGGTGGGCGCTGTCCAGAGTCAGGTTCCACTGCGAGCGAGAGAACCCGTCAGAGAGGAGAACAGAAACGCTCGCCGCCGTTCTCAGAAGAATTCTACCTGCAGATGTGTCGCGGTCTGAGGTCCAGAGGTTCCTTCCGGTCCTGGCGGTCCACCGCTGACGGGAAACTGGGACACAGACGCACAGAGACAGGAAGTCCTGAGTCCGCAGAGAGGCGGGTCCAAAAGCAGAAGATCTGGATCCTCAGAACTGACCTGAGAGGGCGGGGCCTCTTCCTCTTCCTCCTCCTTCATCAGCAGGCCGTCCCAGTCCTTTCTGATCTGTGACTCTGCGGCGGCCCTCGTTCCCCCCCACCTCCTCCTCTTCTTCACCCACCTCCTCTTCCTCATCTCCTGAACACAAACATGAGACGCTTTGAGCGACGCTCCGCGTTCATTCAGAGAACCGAACAGAACAAACGGACCTCAGCGTCTCCTGAACCCGCCTTCTTCTGCTGCTCTGGGTTCAGCAGCAGAACTCTGTCGCTCATCATCCTCAGACGCTGTTTCCCCCACAGCGACGCCCACCTCCCCCTCAGACTCCTGGGCATCACCTGAAAAGCAGCGAGTGGAGAAGTTCAGTGGAGGAGCCGCCATCGGCTGCTCGGTTCTGTCGGACTGCGCGGTAGAACCAGACCTCCTCTCCTGCGGCGACCTTCTCATGCCTCCATCTACTCCATCCTGTCCAGTGCTTGGACCCTGGTTCTGTGGAGCCGCTCTGCTCTGTGGCCTGGGCGTGGCCCGATGGTCCCGTGTTCTCCGCAGCCAGGAGGCGGTTCTGCTCCTGGGATTTATTTTTCTCTCTGAGCTGAGAGGAAGGAAGCAGACAGGAGAACCAGATGTTCCTGATGCGGTTCTGGACGCCCCGGGTTCTGGTTTTGACCCACAGAACTCACCAGCACCAGGCAGCGCCTCATCACACACTTCTGCTTCAGGCGGCTCGGCCCGCCGAACTTCCTCATGTCTCGGCAGAAGGAGCAGCTCCCGCAGTCCTCCCTGAGACACGCCACGCATTCCCTGCAGGCCACGCGACGCTGCGGCAGAAACGCCCCGTTAGAACCCAGACCAGCCGAGAAACATCATGGGGGTACCAGATGATGCTCACCCTCTTCTGCACGAATCCTGGAGGGTTTGCTCTCCTGAACTTCCTCTGAACAGCCAATCACAGGCCAGCAGCGGGTCACACGGGGATCAGGGAACATTTCAATGGTTAACAGACAATCTGCAGAACAACTGACCCCCCCCCCCCCACACACACACACACACACACACCCCTTCATCAGCCTCACCTTCTCCTCCTCTTCCTCCTCCTCCTCTTCATCTTCCTCCTTTTTAATGGTGGAACTCCGGAGAATCCACTGATCCCCTGTGACCTGAGTGGACAGAACGCAGTGATGTCACACAGCAACGATGATGATGATGATGATGATGATGATGATGATGATGATGGCCTACCTTCCTCAGCACCATGCTGGGCACATTCTTCTTATCTGGAATTAAAAACAGAACCAGAGAAGAAGAGTCAGTTTGGCTCATCTGTCTCCATGGTAACCAAACAATTCTATTCAGTTTATTTCTATAGCTCCAATTCACATCATGTCATCTCAGGCCACTTTCCAGTTCACCAGATCATCCAGTCAGATTGATTCAAAGTTTTCTATCTAAGGAAAACCAGCTGATTGCATCGACTCATTGACTCTTCAGCAATCCCTCACACTAAGCATGCTTGTAGCGACAGTGGAGAGGAAAAACTCCCTTTGAACAGGAAGAAACCTCCAGCAGAACCAGGCTCAGTGTGAGCGGCCATCTGCTGAGGCCCACTGGGGTTCAAGGAGACAGAAGCAGACAGAAAAAGAACAGACAGAGGGGGACAGGAGCGTGTTACCTGCAGGTGGACGGCTGTCGTCTTCGTCCTTCTGCCAACCGCTGGACGTCGGTCTGGAGGTCGACCTGAATCCAGGAACAGATGAAACCTTCACTACCATCTGACTCTTGCATTATGCGACCATTTCAGGTGATGTAACCAGCATGCTTTTACACAATTGTTTTATGTCCTACCATGCAAACATGGAACAACTGTGTTAAAGTAGCTAAATATGACCATGTAATAACCAAAAACTGTTGCATAATTTTTCAGTGTATGATGCTTTTGGATTTTGAGGCTTCTGCAGATCTCTGCCCAGGTCCCCTTTGACAATGAGATCCAGATCTCAATGGGGTTTACCTGGTTAAATAAAGGAAAAAAGAAAAAAAAATAGAGGCTTGTTGTTTTTGACAGTAGGCTGACAGGAAAGTGAGGATGAGAGAGGCAGAGAAACATGCAGCAAAAGACCAGATGTCAGGTTCGAACCCGGGTTGGACAAGAATAAAGGCGTCTGTACATGGGTCGTGTGAGCTAACCTGTGGCACCAGAGCACGCCGTAAGCATGCAAAATTAAAAGAATCTAAGCGTACAAATTTAGAAGAAAAATGCACTTATTTACGAGATTATAAACATGCATACTTATGTATTGTTCATTTTCAATTTAAAGGAAAAGTCCGCTCATATTCAGAATTCAAACGTCTAAAAGTATTTCAATGTGCATAACTGGAGGCATCCATGTTTGTCAAAGAACACTACTGCCACCTACTGGTTAGTGACGTCACGGTGCGGTATCGGCTGTTGATCAAGTCCCAGTGCTGTATCTGGTGTTTGTCCCAACGCGCTATTATCCAAGTCATCTTGAAAACATTCTTCTTCCAAATGTTGGCTACATATTACGGGTTTTTTCTCTGGCCAGAAGTTCGATGGCAAATCCTCCCTCTTCAAGTTGGCGATCCAACGACCAACCCGTCCGTGGAGGATCAGGAATCAGAAAGGTGGAATAACTCTTTTTTTCACTTTTACCCGATGTATTCCAGCATCCAGCTGCCATGCACGTGGGCATTGTCAGTTTCACTATAGCTCTGGTGAATTTCAATGGTGAAGTCCTCTGGAAATCTTCAATAATTGTTGTTGATTGCAGATGTGTCTAGTAGTTCCCATTGATTTAGCTTGGAAAGCGGGGAGAATGGCGCTAGGCTAACCGCACCGTGACGTCACTGCTGGAAGATGGCAGGAGGGAGGGGCTACTATATTTGGGCAAAAATGGCCGCTCCCAGACTCAGTGATCGCAACGGAAATTATTGTTTTTATTTTTTCACTGATAAACTGTAAATTCATTAAATCACTGCGAACGTTTTAGTTTTAGGTATAAATAATGATCCATTGACTATTCCTGCTGACCAGACTTTTCCTATAAAACTTCCATCAGGAGGTCATAATACCGTCTAATTCCATTAGTTAATGATGCGTTTATGTAGCACACTTTAACGTGGATTATAATCTCCCTTCATTCCCCAAATGTACACGTTAAAATCTCGAAAATTAGCGAATTTTTTCTCCTAAATTAGCGTGTTTTTTTATTAATTTGCTACTTTTTCTCTTATATTTGTATGTTTTACTTTCATAAATTAATCGTACATTTGCGTGTTTTTTCTCGGAAATATGCCCATTCAAACTCAAAACTTTTAATTCCATTTTTTTTTACTGTCTTTGAATTACCCTCATACGCCATCATAAACTTCTAATTAAAGAACCAGAGGATTAAAACTGAGGCTCTTCCTCGGATGTTCTCCAAACAGAACATGGAGCACGTCTACATGCAGACAGTTACAGGTGTTTGGCGAGGACAGACATTAAGCCCCGCCCTCCCGCTACACAGATTAAAAAGGTTTGTTTTCTTATGTTCTCATCACCTGCAGTTGGTAATTCAGTGGAATCAGAAAACAAAGATGGAGAAATTAACATCTAATGAACTCTCTCTTGCCTCGTCTTACTTTAGTTCTGCAAAGTTGATTATATTGACCAGAAGAAGACGTAAACAAAAGGTCTGATAACAGAAAGAGCCAAACACAAAGATCAGGTGTGGAAAAGCTGAAATGCCCAGAAGGATCAGACAGCAGTGCGACGTAGATGTTGGTGTTCAGCGAAAAGCTTTCAGGCTTCTCTGCCTGGTTGATGGATGTCTGTCGGCACGGCGACGCTGCTCTGAGAGACGGAAACGTGTCTAAGATAACCGACTTCTTTTTAAAACTAAAAAACGCTTGGAGTCAGACGTTGGTAGTTCTGCTGAACGGCCAGCAGATGGCGACAATGACTTTATGTTGTTTTTATCTCATTAACTCCTGGATGGAAACACATTTGCATGAACCATAAAGTGCCTGATGCTTCAGTCCGTCTCCCTGGTGAAACTCCATCCAGCTGATTTCACAGCTTCATCATAGGACGGATGTCTGTGTCGCGCCATATTTTGTTCCTCATGGATCACAATAGGGAACAGAATATGGTGCAACACTGGTTCCTGTTGGTTGTTAACTTATCGCAGCTGAGAACGGACGGCCGAACGCCCAAACAGTGGCCGCCGAACAGGGGACGGAGGAACGGGGGACGGAGGAACTGAGGACGGCCGGACAGGGGACGGAGGAACACGGTACGGCGGAAATGAGGACGGCCGGACAGGGGACGGAGCGACAGGGGACGGAGGAACAGGGTACGGCGGAAATGAGGACGGCCGGACAGGGGACGGAGCGACAGGGGACGGAGGAACAGGGTACGGCGGAAATGAGGACGGCCGGACAGGGGACGGAGCGACAGGGGACGGAGGAACAAGGTACGGCGGATCTGTGGACGGCCGAACAGGGGACGGAGGAACACGGTACGGCGGAACTGTGGACGTTCGAACAGGGGACGGAGGAACACGGTATGGCGGAACTGTGGACAGCCGAACAGGGGACGGAGGAACACGGTATGGCGGAACTGTGGACAGCCGAACAGGGGACGGAGGAACACGGTACGGCGGAACTGAGGACGGCGGAACACGGTACGGCGGAACTGTGGACGTTCGAACAGGGGACGGAGGAACACGGTATGGCGGAACTGTGGACGGCCGAACAGGGAACGGAGGAACACGGTACAGCGGAAATGAGGACGGCCGAACAGGGGACGGAGGAACACGGTATGGCGGAACTGTGGACGGCCGAACAGGGGACGGAGGAACACGTTACGGCGGAAATGAGGACGGCCGAACAGGGAACGGAGGAACACAGTACGGCGGAAATGAGGACGGCCGAACAGGGGACGGAGGAACACGGTACGGCGGAACTGTGGACGTTCGAACAGGGGACGGAGGAACACGGTACGGCGGAACTGTGGACGTTCGAACAGGGGACGGAGGAACACGGTACGGCGGAACTGTGGACGTTCGAACAGGGGACGGAGGAACACGGTACGGCGGAACTGTGGACGTTCGAACAGGTGACGGAGGAACACGGTACGGCGGAACTGTGGACGTTCGAACAGGTGACGGAGGAACACAGTACGGCGGAAATGAGGACGGCCGAACAGGGAACGGAGGAACACAGTACGGCGGAAATGAGGACGGCCGAACAGGGAACGGAGGAACACGGTATGGCGGAACTGTGGACAGCCGAACAGGGAACGGAGGAACACGGTATGGCGGAACTGTGGACAGCCGAACAGGGGACGGAGGAACACGGTACGGCGGAACTGAGGACGGCGGAACACGGTACGGCGGAACTGTGGACGTTCGAACAGGGGACGGAGGAACACGGTATGGCGGAACTGTGGACGGCCGAACAGGGAACGGAGGAACACGGTACAGCGGAAATGAGGACGGCCGAACAGGGGACGGAGGAACACGGTATGGCGGAACTGTGGACGGCCGAACAGGGGACGGAGGAACACGTTACGGCGGAAATGAGGACGGCCGAACAGGGAACGGAGGAACACAGTACGGCGGAAATGAGGACGGCCGAACAGGGGACGGAGGAACACGGTACGGCGGAACTGTGGACGTTCGAACAGGGGACGGAGGAACACGGTACGGCGGAACTGTGGACGTTCGAACAGGGGACGGAGGAACACGGTACGGCGGAACTGTGGACGTTCGAACAGGGGACGGAGGAACACGGTACGGCGGAACTGTGGACGTTCGAACAGGTGACGGAGGAACACGGTACGGCGGAACTGTGGACGTTCGAACAGGTGACGGAGGAACACGGTACGGCGGAACTGTGGACGTTCGAACAGGGAACGGAGGAACACAGTACGGCGGAAATGAGGACGGCCGAACAGGGAACGGAGGAACACGGTTCGGCGGAAATGAGGACGGCCGAACAGGGAACGGAGGAACACAGTACGGCGGAAATGAGGACGGCCGAACAGGGGACGGAGGAACACGGTTCGGCGGAACTGAGGACGGCCGGACAGGGGAGGAACAAATAGGGGATGGCCGAACGCTGGCGGAGGGCCGAACAGCGGCATCCAGTCTTTAGGAAAACCCGGAGCTGCTCTCAGGCTGATCTCAGTCTGTTCTGCCAAACTTTCCCTTCATCACAACCATATCCGGCCGGAGCAAATAACGCAACGTTAGCTTTGTGAAAATTAGCTTCCCTCTCTCTGTCCACTGCACCTGGCATTGCCGACCGTCTAGTTGCTCCTGAACGCATCTCTACATGGAAATGACTGGTTCCAGTTCGCTGTGAACGCAGCTCTAGAACAAACACCAACGACTCTTACCTGTCCTCTTCTGATTGGCTGATTGAATCCAGGCAGTAGGAGTGGTCCATGCGTGGGAGGTCATTGTTGTCCACGTGGGCGGAGCCAGAGGCTGCTTCTGGACAGTGCTTCAGCGTCAGCCTGCTCTGGGGTTTCCCAGGACTATCTTCAGGGACGTTCTCAGCCGCTAGTTTTACCTGCACCTTCTTGACGAACCTTTTTGTTCTTCCGTCGCCGTTCCCCGGCTCCAGCGGCTCCATCCAGTCCCAGTTCGACATCAGGTTTCGCGACCTGACCCGCAGGCTGCTCCTTCTTTCAGACCCCCTCTGTTCCCACATCTTCAGCTGCTCTGCCCGAGGACGGATGACGACGATGGAGCAATTCCTGAGTTCAGGGAACAGCCGCCGCCATCGCTCCTCCTCCTCCATTCTCCTGGTCTTCGTGGTCAGCGCATCCCACCCGGTTGGTTGAGGAAGATGACAAAGCACCGCCTCCTCTGTTTCCTCTGCAGAACCAACAGAATCTGGGTCAGAACAACAAGGACTCACTCTGATTTCTCAGGGGGGGGGTTAAGAGAGAAGGCCTCCCTGATGCTGTATGCTCGCCTGGGGAGGGTCAAAGGTCATCATTCTACAGAGAGAACATCTCAGGTTAAGGCAGAAGCTCAGAAGAGCTTCAGGATAAACAGGTTAAAGGTCGAGGAAGAAAAAGAACCCTAGAACTAACTGTAAGGTACGGTGGTGGAGGGCTGGTGCTATGGGCTTGTTTTCAGACATTGGTCGAAGGGACAAACGTCCATCTTACCTCCCACTTCAAGCCCCGCCCCCAAACTCAGCTCGTCCAAATGTTCCATCTCAGGATGTGGCGCAGTGCCGTACCCTCTGCTACCATGGCCAATGAGGAGGCGTCCCGCAGTCTGTGGGCGTGGCCTCAGAGTCCATGCTGCTCAGGAGGAATTCCGACGCAGTGACCCCATCAGCCGACGAGCCGCCAATCATCAATCGGTTAATTGATTGTCGGATTTCGACCACCTGAAGGAAAAAACAGACGGGATCAAAGCAGAGAAGAAGAATCAGAGACAGCAATGGTTGCAGCTGTTTTTTAGAGAACGCTTTAGAACATCTTTCCGCTCCGCTGAGGACGCCATCTCTGCTGCTCACGGCTGCAGCGCCTCAGACTGGAAGAAGGTGAGAACAGCAGAGAGGATCATGGGGGCTCCTCTTCCCTCCATTAAAGACATTTCATCCCAGCGCTGCGTGTCCTGAGCCTGTGACATCATCAATGACCCCTCACCCCCACCCCGTGGACTGTTCTCCCTGCTGCCCTCTGGGAAGAGGCTTCCCAGCATTCAATGCAGGACCAGCAGGTTCTGCAGCAGCGTCTTCCCCACCGCCATCACACTGATGAACTGCTGGATAAAATGGGTTATTGTATTTTATTATTATATACACTCACTGGCCACTTTATTAGGTACACCTGTCCAACTGCTCGTTAACACTTAATTTCTAAGCAGCCAATCACATGGTGGCAACTCAGTGCATTTAGGCATGTAGACATGGTCAAGACAATCTCCTGCAGTTCAAAGCGAGCATCAGTATGGGAAAGAAAGGTGATTTGAGTGACTTTGAACGTGGCATGATTGTTGGTGCCAGAAGGGCTGGTCTGAGTATTTCAGAAACTGCTGATCTACTGGGATTTTCACGCACAACCATCTCTAGGGTTTACAGAGAATGGTCCGAAAAAGAAAAAACATCCAGTGAGCGGCAGTTCTGTGAGCGGAAATGCCTTGTGGATGCCAGAGGTCAGAGGAGAATGGCCAGACTGGTTGGAGCTGATAGAAGGGCAACAGTTACTCAAATAACCACCCGTTACAACCAAGGTGGGCAGAAGAGCATCTCTGAACGCACAGTACGTGGAACTTTGAGGCAAATGGGCTACAGCAGCAGAAGACCACACCGGGTCCCACTCCTTTCAGCTAAGAACAGGAAACTGAGGCTACAATTTGCACAAGCTCATGGAAATTGGACAATAGAAGATTGGAAAAACGTTGCCTGGTCTGATGAGTCTCGATTTCTGCTGCGACATTCGGATGGTAGGGTCAGAATTTGGCGTCTACAACATGAAAGCATGGATCCATCCTGCCTTGTATCAACGGTTCAGGCTGGTGGTGGTGGTGTCATGGTGTGGGGAATATTTTCTTGGCACTCTTTGGGCCCCTTGGTACCAATTGAGCATCGTTGCAACGTCACAGCCTACCTGAGTATTGTTGCTGACCATCTCCATCCCTTTATGACCACAATGTACCCAACTTCTGATGGCTACTTTCAGCAGGATAATGCGCCATGTCATAAAGCTGGAATCATCTCAGACTGGTTTCTTGAACATGACAATGAGTTCACTGTACTCAAATGGCCTCCACAGTCACCAGATCTCAATCCAATAGAGCATCTTTGGGATGTGGTGGAACGGGAGATTCGCATCATGGATGTGCAGCCGACAAATCTGCGGCAACTGTGTGATGCCATCATGTCAATATGGACCAAACTCCCTGAGGAATGCTTCCAGCACCTTGTTGAATCTATGCCACCAAGAATTGAGGCAGTTCTGAAGGCAAAAGGGGGTCCAACCCGTTACTAGCATGGGGTACCTAATAAAGTGGCCGGTGAGTGTATATCATATTTTTTAAAATTTACAGTCATTTTTGTTATTTTTTCAAGGCGCACTTTTAAAAAAGATGAAATTGTCCAGAGAGCTGTTCTAAAGAAATTCCTTTTTGTTTTACAGTTGTGTTAACAAAATGACAAATAAAATCTGTCTAAGTCTAATTATGCTGCTATAGGCTTAGGCTGCTGGAGGACAAGGGTAATGGTGTAAATATCGATAAGCAAAGACTTCAGTTGTTTAGGGGCCCCGACCTCTTAGGGGCCCTGTCACTAACACCTGGTAGGCCCCCTACACAATTCTGGACTGGGAAGTCTCTTTGCAGATGTACTGGTGCAAAAAGTTTCATTTTTTTCACAATACGACTTGGAATTATGGGTAATCCAGAGCGAAAATTAAACCATAACGTTACGTACAGTGTGTTAGCGACGATGGATACCAAAATTAGATACTTAAGCGGATTCCAGAAAAGAAAAAGGAAAGAAGAGACGCTGGAAGAATGGAAAAAACTTCCCAAAATAAACACGTTCTTTCAAAGAACCGAAGAGGTGGACGTTGATGCTACAGTGAGTAAAGATGGCGACCAGGAGAGGAATGGAGAGAGCGTGGGTGAGGGGGGGGGGGGGGGGGGGGGGGGGTATACTTCAGCAGAATATACTGAAGTATATCCATGTCTGATGAAGAATGATGAAATGATGAAGTATGTATGAATCGGGGACATTTATGGTCAGCTGTACTACATGTGGGGCCCAACCAGATAATGTTGCTTACAGGCATATTGTTGTGTCATTACACCATTGGACATAGGGACCCCTTTTTCATCATTCTATCTCTATTCTCCCACTCTGCAGAATCTGTTAGTTCAATCTCTAACGTTCTGCTCTCTCTGCTTTTTCTCATAGTAGCTTCATCTGGTCTGTTCCTGTTTGGCTGTGACTCCATCCTGGAGAGAAATATCAGCTGTGCTGCTGCCATCAACACCTTTGTTTCTAGATGTTGGAGCTTGGCCTGTTTTCCAGTGTAGTCCTGTTTCTCTGACTGTGACTAACTGGATGTGCTCTCTTCATCCTCTGACATGGGAGCTGGCTCGGAGCTCATCTGCCTGGCTGTGTGTTTCCTGGACGGGGCCGCCTGTGGAGCTGGTTGACAGTTGCCTTTTGTATCTATGCTTCTTTTTCTATGTCTGCTTCTGTCTCCTTGAACCCCAGTGGGCCTCAGCAGATGGCCGCTCACACTGAGCCTGGTTCTGCTGGAGGTTTCTTCCTGTTCAAAGGGAGTTTTTCCTCTCCACTGTCGCTACAAGCATGCTTAGTGTGAGGGATTGCTGAAGAGTCAATGAGTCGATGCAATCAGCTGGTTTTCCTTAGATAGAAAACTTTGAATCAATCTGACTGGATGATCTGGTGAACTGGAAAGTGACTGGAGATGACATGATGTGAATTGGAGCTATAGAAATAAACTGAATAGAATTTTCGGGTAGTTTGGGTGAAAGAACAGAATCGTTTTTTATCAGAGGACCCAGATAGACCCAGAGCATAGAGGAAAACCTTCCTCGGATTTCAGCAAAGCATGCTGGGAGATGTAGTCAGCTGTGGGACCGTACAGCTGTAAGACCTTGCAGACAGTATTTGCAGCTGAACCCGTCCCAGAGACCATCAGAACTGGACCGAACTTCATGCTGCTCGCCGTCTACCTGTCACTGATTCACGTGCACGCGCTCAGAAACCCCTCCATACGAGCAAAGGCGCCGAAGCAGACATGTATAGCTGCACTCCGGAGCCCCTCGGCGGTGGTCGGAGTGTCCTCCTGCGGCCCCCGGAGCTCCTGCTCCGGTTCTGTGAGCTCACATGTGTCCGGAGTGAACAGGGCGGCACCCGGATGGGATAAAACACAGAGATTAATGGGAATAGAGGCTTTAATTTGACTCACCGAGCAGAGACCCTCAGCTACTCCGCCTGCTCCACTGCTGCCTTCATGGCCCGCACTGAGAGTCGGAATTCTCCCCATCGACCACTGACTCTTTGCTTGGACAGCATCTGGACAGATGCTGAATCATGTTATGATTATTAATCATGCTTTTATGTGTAAAACTATCATTCTGATGGGTGTTTATTTCCTTCATGGTGTTTTAACCTGATTCTACAGCTCGCCCCTCATCGGGAATTAATCTGCATCAGAGGTGAAAATAAAGTCAGTGAACCAACCATTCCTGCCCCTGATGATGAGTCTGATCCGATCTTCATTTAGAGAGGATTTTAAATTCATTCCGGCATTTTCTCATTCAGCGACTGATAGTTGCATTTCAAGTTTCCGGAAACACGTGAACAGGTGAGTCAGAGCAGCAGGACTCTGCTTCGGTTCAGCTGCTTTTCTGCTGCAGCAAACGATGTGAAACAGAACCGGAGTGGTCCGTGAAGGCAGCATCCCGGTGGCGCTCATCGCCTCCTCTGAGCATGCGCACCGAGGATCAGTTTGTAAGACAGCAGAGGGAGCTGCTGCAATGCTGATAGCCCGAAAAAAGTGAAGCCATCGGCCGCCATATTGGTACTCCCTACTCCCACTGATGATGCACAGTCAGAGTGCCTCCATGTGCAGCATGTGGCTGCAAAAACAAGTAGTTTTCTGGCTGCAGGAAGACGTTCCACTGGTAATTTCCCAGTCAGTGGATGAACTAAGCAATAAATCCATCTATAGCCGATGGATCCTATAGGATAGTCTGTAGACTAAGATTAGTCTTGACTGAGTTAGACATTGGGTCTAACGTTAGAAAATAGAAAGTAATTCACTGTGAAATGTCAATGTGGTCATTCTTTATGAAGTGGATGATGCTGTCGTTTTTGTAGTGCTTGTTGTATTTCGCTCAACACACGTCATCTCAGGTCACTTTCCAGTTCACCAGATCATCCAGTCAGATTGATTCAAAGTTTTCTATCTAAGGAAAACCAGCTGATTGCATCGACTCATTGACTCTTCAGCAATCCCTCACACTAAGCATGCTTGTAGCGACAGTGGAGAGGAAAAACTCCCTTTGAACAGGAAGAAACCTCCAGCAGAACCAGGCTCAGTGTGAGCGGCCATCTGCTGAGGCCCACTGGGGTTCAAGGAGACAGAAGCAGACATAGAAAAAGAAGCATAGATACAAAAGGCAACTGTCAACCAGCTCCACAGGCGGCCCCGTCCAGGAAACACACAGCCAGGCAGACGAGCTCCGAGCCAGCTCCCATGTCAGAGGATGAAGAGAGCACATCCAGTTAGTCACAGTCAGAGAAACAGGACTACACTGGAAAACAGGCCGATCTCCAACATCTAGAAACAACAACAGAAAAAGCAGAGAGAGCAGAACGTTAGAGATTGAACTAACCAATTCTGCAGAGTGGGAGAACAGAGATAGAATGAAGCAGAATGATGAAAAAGGGGTCCCTATGTCCTCCAGTAGTCTAAGCCTATAGCAGCAGAACTATAGAGATAGATCAGGATAACCTGAGCCACTCTAACTAGAAGCTTTATCTAAGCCTAGCCTTAAAAGTAGACAGAAATATATTGCATTTTAACAGAAAGAAAACTCAACCATTTTTAAAGGCTGATGCATAGACACAGCATAAAATTATGGATTGTGAAAAAAAATTTAAATAAAAATATATAGATTAAAGGGTTAATTGTAAATTTTTTTTATGTAATTTTAAATAAATAATTTTTTTTACATAAAATGTTTAGATAAATGTTTTAAAGGGGAATTTTGGAAAGGGTTTTTTTATAAGTTAAAAAGTTTTTTAAAATAATAGATTTTTTAAAATTAAATGAAAAAAAGGGGATTTGTTTTAATTTTAAATTTAATTTTTGTGTTGAAAAGGGTAAAAGGGGATGTTTTTTTTTTTTAAAAGTTAAAAAAAATTTTTTTTTTTAATCTCATGTTGTTTTGTGGGGGAAAAGAGTTTTTTTTAAAAGGGTAAAGGGGTGCAAAATGGGGGGGGGTTTGGGCCCGTTTTAATTAGGGTTTTAAAGGGTGGGGTGTTTTTGGGGGTGAAGGAGGGGGAAAAGGGGAAGGGGTGATTGGGGGGGGGGGTGGGGTTTTTTTGTGTTGGGGCTGAAAAGAGAAAATGAAAAAAAATGACTGTTTTAATTTTAAAAAAAGGGAATAAAATGAATAAGGGGTGATTGAATGAATGAAAATAATAAAAGTGAGTGAATGAAAAATGAATGAATGAAAAAATGAAGGGAAAAATGAAAGGGAAAAATGAATGAATGAAATGATGAAGGGAAATGAATAAAGAATTGAATGAATGAATGAATGATGTGAATGTGGATTGATGAATGAATGACTGTGAATGAATGTGAATGAATGAATGTAAGGATATAAGATTACCGAATGATGAATGATGAATGAATGAACTGAATGATGAATGAATGATGAATGATGAAAAATAAATGAATATGAATGAAGAATGACATGCTTGATCGGAATGAACTCCCGAAAGGATGAGACTGATGACCATCGCTGATGGACTGAATGACGAAGATGAATTAGAATGAATGAATGCATAGAATGACATGAATGGAATTGATGAACAGTAAGCCCCCTAGAAAACTGACATAGATGAGAATGTCATGAGATGAAAGAGAATGAAGTTGACATGAGAAATGACACATGAAATAAGACATGCTGCAACATTAGATGATAACATGAAATGCAGATGACATGAACTGTAGAATTGAATCACTGATGATGATGAATGAATGAATGAATGAGATATGATGAATGAATGGCAATGATCTCAGAGTCTAAGCTGCAGCTGAACTAAGAATGACAGGATGAATGAAGACTGCTAATAGAATGATGCAACTGTAAAGTGACATGAATGATATGATGCATGAACTAGAATGAAATGAACATGAATGAGACTGATGAATGACAGCAATGAATGATTGGCAATGAACTGAATGCATGAAATGTGAAATGAATGATGAATAAGCAGACGTGAATGAAATGATGATGAATGAACTGAATGATGAATGCATGATGTAATGATAGATGACATGAAAATGATGATGATGAATGCATGATGATGACATTGACATTTGGAATGTATATGATAATAATGATAAATGATATCATGAATGAGACTTATGATAATGAATTGAATGAATGGATGAATGTAATGATAGATAGAATTATCAATGCTATGAAAGACTGAATTGCAAAGTGATGAAATTTGAATGATGAATGAAGTATGCTGAAAATTGATATCTGTTGTATGAATGCATGATGGATGAATGAATGTATGACATGAATGAACTGATGAATGAATGAATGATGATGATAGCTGATAAGAGAATGCAGATGACATGATCGAACCTGATATATGGTGAATGAATTATGAATGTAATCTGATGAATGAAAGAATGAATGAATGCATGATTTGTTACTGATAATGATGAATGATGACTGAATGTATTGAACTCTATACTATTTCAATGATGAATAATGATATTGAATCATGATCCTCGACATGACATGATAATGACATAGATGAATGATCATGATGATATATATGACATCATGTGCATGCATGAACATGCTGAATTGATATGATACTGAATGAATGCAATATGCATGAATTGAATGCATGCATGAATATGACATGAATGAATCAATGAATATGATGATTATAATTGACCATGATCATGATGATCATGTCAATGACATGAATATGACATGAATGCCTGAATGATGAATGCATGAATGAATGTATACATGATCGAATGCATCATGACATGCATCATGCCTATCATATGACTAATGCCTGACATCATGAACATATGAATGATCCATGACATGCATTATATGAATCGAATGAATGAATGAATGATCATGATATCGCTTCTATGACATGCATCTATTTTAATGATGCATCAATCATATAGTATAATCATGAATAATGATCATGCATATGATCCATGCATGAAATGATGAATGCACATGAATCCTGCTGAATACATTCAATACCATATCCATCCAAATCCATCCATGAATCCATGCACATCATGACCTGATCCATGCCATCATCATATATGCCATCATACAATGCCATATACATCCATACCATCATCATATGCCACCATCCATAAATCATTACATCCATCATCCATCATATCCATGCCTAATCTCTCAATCATCCATCATCCATCATCATATCATATCAATCCATATGCTCATCCATCCATACATCAATCCGATCACTTATCCAATGCATCCAATCAATCATCATAATTCCATCATAATCATACTCCATCCATCATCATCATGCATCATGCATACCATCGATAATCCATCATCCATCATTCCATAATTCATGCAATCATCCATCATCCTAAATAATCCATCATCCATCCATATCATATCCATCATCCATCATCCAATAATCATCCATATATAATCATCCATTCCATCAATCATCATCATATCATGACATAACATCATGCCAATAATATCATCCATCATATCCAAGATATGCCATACATCCATGAATATCATATCATGTATCTAAATCACATGCCCATCTGTCATATCCATCATCATAATACAATTGCAATTCATCATATAGAATCCATCCATATCATCCATGCATCAATCATCCATATAACATTCCATCATATCATAATCCATATCATCAATGCCATCCATCACATCATCATATTCCATATCATGTCCATCCATCCATATATCCATCATCATCACATCCATATCATTCATCCATCCATCCATATATCAATATCCATTATTATCAATATACATATGACATCAATCCTGATCAATCATCCATAATCCATCCATCATAGCATGCCATAATCCATTCCATCATATATAATCACATGCCATCATCCATCATCCTCCATCATATCATATATCATCTCATCATCATCAATCATCCATCATAATGTCATCATCAACATTAATCATCATCCATATCCATCTCATCCATCCATCACATCCTTATCCATCATCCATCTCCTCATCCATCCATCATCCATCCAATCATCCATCCA